GTGCGTGCGTGCGTGCGTGCGTGCGTGCGTGTGGTGCGTGTGTGCGTGCGTGCGTGCGTGCATGCGTGCGTGCGTGCGTGCGTGCGTGCGTGCGTGCGTGCGTGCGTGTGCGTGTGCGTGTGCGTGTGTGTGTGTGTGTGTGATATTTATTTATTATAACAGAAAGTTGAAGCTGGATTAAATATTATTTGGAGAAATAAATTTGGATCTTAGATTGATTATCAATTTCTTTCTTTTTACAGTATATCTTATAAGTCTTTAAATTACACATGTAAATTATCCAATGCAAAGCGTTTTATTTTATTTCTCTGATGTTAACCGATAAATTAATTTATGAATTAATTATTATGTGAGGAAAGTCAAAATCATTCTTTGTTTTAATTACATAGCGGAATGAAAATGTGAAGTAAGCCTTGAATTCGCTATAGAGAGAGTCAGGAATTTCTGAGAACGAGCAGACCTTAATGAGGCTTAAGTGCTCTCCAAGTTTGGCCCTTACTTGTTACGAATGAGTGAGCTACGAATGAAATCTTATTCCACTGTGCTATTGTTCTTAAAACCATACAATTTACATTTCACTAGGACCTAGTGCTGATCATTGTCTGACAATGGAAATCGATAGTCTAGAACGTGTACACATTGTCAATGTTAAAATTTTCTTATGTTTTCCGGAAATTGATATCTCCAATGATCCAGTAGGAGCAATGAGCGCGTTTAACGAACTCAACTGTTGAGTCTGCTGAACGTGCCCAATGACTTGCTGTAATATTTAGCACCTTATGAACTTTTTGTTTTCTTGCTCCCTTATTCATCATGCAATTAATCATACAAGAATTCACATTTGCATGACTTGTCCTATACAAGAACTCACATTTGCATGGCACCTAAAATGCATCCTTTTTGAAATACACAGTTCTACTACAAATTCACGTTTAATTTTTGATAGTATTTAAATCTTTAAAATTAAAAAATTAAAATTATAGCAAATATAGTTGGGATCGTTTTTTAATATTTATAATATTTATTTATTTAAACTATTAATAACACATTATTAATATAATAATTATTACATGTTTTGCTTTTATTCTTAGACAATTTACAGTAACCTTTATTTATCATGAAATTTTTTTTGTTAACTTGTTTATTTTAATTAGCATAATACATACTCTTAACCGCAAAAAACTTGTCACCATGAGTATATATTTATGATAGCCACTTTTCTTTCTTCAATTTTTTCTTTTTCATTTACTCACTTGCTTAATTAAGCGTTTTTTCCCCTTAACATCCACGCATATAATTAATCCTATTGACCACTACCCGCACGAGAAGTCGTCTCCCTTATATATTAAATTGACTGTTAGTATCCTCACTCAGAGGAGCATTCATTTTTTTGTATATTTATCGGACATTTACGTCTCAACATAATGTTTTCTTTCTTTTAAATAAGTGCGTTACACGTGATACTCGATGGACATTTACTTCAAGAATTAAACAAATGCGAGCATATTGGCATGGAATCTTGTTTAGGAAATAATATTTCTCTTAATTTTAAAAGAGAATTTTAAACTCACACAATTATTTATTAAGTACATACTTGATATATCATATTTATTGCTTCTAAATACAACTGTGACACTACTCTGCGGAGAAATCAGTGCAATATGCAATTAAAATATTATAATAAATAGAAACTTTTTGTATTTTAAGTATGTATTTTTTTTGTTATCCTAAATTTATATATTTTAACTAAGATTGAACGCGAATAAATAAATTTAAATATACAATATAACAACGGACGCAGAAAGGATTCATCAAATCTTTCTTGAAAGCAAGACTTAATCATTCATTTTATTATTATATTTTATTAAGGAATTATATCACCTTGACAGAATCTAAAATAAGCGTAAATTTAATAAACTGAATGATTTTTTAAAATCGACTACTGCGTAGAGAGAGAGAGAAAGAGAGAAAGTTAATTTATATTTTAGGTATATATATTATTATATATTGTACAATATGATGATTAAGGTAAAATCATGCAGTAATTTGTAATTATGACTTATATTTATTATATTGAATAATTACAAAAAAATTAGTGCCATAATTATGAAAGATTTAGACTTCTTTTTGAATTAATGATAAATTTTTATGTAATCTCTGTGATGTTAATGAATCAAAAGATAAAATTAATATTATAAATTATGTATTAGATTTGTTTACACCGTTATTTGTATCTACTCTGTTTAATCTTTCATAGTCTTCTGACTTCGAATAGAGTAGTGTTGGTACTTTAATCCTGCTTTTTGTGCCCAGTGCTCAATTTAATATATTAGAATGTGTCGCGATGTATGTGATAAAAATGAATTTAATTTGTACATTATTATTCGCAGAAATCCTTCAGGCGGTTCAGGTCTCAGCGAAACTGGATCCCTGGATCGTGCTAAGGCTGCGCTAGAGCGTAGAAAAAAAGCGGAGGATGGTGCTGGTAATCCTATCCTCTGTAGAGTTGAAGTCACCAGGCCGAATCCTGATTCTCTTATCGACGAACTGCTTAAAGCAACGAATTTGGAACAAACGGATCTTGAAAGTTCCGAGAGTATGTTTTCCTTCTAATTTATTATATTTATTATATTCATTAAAAAATGAGTTACAAAAAATAGAACGAAGAATTTTGCGTCTTTTGTTTAATTGGTTTTTTCTTAATTTTCTATGCTGGAAAGTTAGAATAATTAAAAAAAAATTATGAATTTTGTGAGTAAATAAATATTTGCATTTTGCAGCAACTGGTCTTCAACTCTTTATTGCGAAAGACGGCACGACCGCGCTTGGTAGTCACGAGGTAAAGAGCCAGATGCCTGCCGGTGTGTTCAAACAAGTGGTAATGGAAGAGAACAACAGGTAACACGAAGCCATCACTACGAGACGACAGTATGCAAGACAGGCCAGCGCCACGTTCTCGTTGGCTCTGGTGCCAGAGCTCGTCTACGAAGCCTACGAGCCGCGGTAGTTACAAGAGATGACGATAATGATGGACGAAGAAATCATCGACTTGGGAGGAACAGCCAAACGCGATACGAAGTCGTACATCTTCGTTAGATCGTTCTAGACTGTACCTCTTCTCTATATAAAAAAATCTTCTAAATAGTCGAACTAATATTCGTCGAAGTAGTACGTTCGAGTTGATTACTTCGTGTGAAATCCATTGTACGGATTCGCAAGACCGAGACTCATATTAATCATCTCATAAGTGCGCATTTAAATGTGAATGATCGAACAGTCGTATGCAGCTTGCAAGGTTGTTAATTGCGTCTCAACACTCGATCCTCCAAGATAATGTTCATACGTGGATTTTGCGTTTTCCAAAATCTCGTGCAACGAATGAAATCTATAATGTATAGTGTTGCTATTCACGACAAACGACTTTAGCTTCGTGCACAATTTAAAGACGATATCAAATGAATACACGTTTTTCAGAACTATTTCAAAAAGACAAATATATGTATTTTCTTTCTGGTAAACAAAGCATGATTTCCGTCAAGCGTACTTCGCTTATAAAGAAAGTTAGGCCTGATTCCGTATAAGATTAACCTTAATCTTTGTTCAATTTACTCTTTATTTTTTTCTATCTAAGAAATTCTTTCTAATTCTAATAATTAAAAAAAGATAAACAGTAAGTTAGACCTAGAGATTATAGTTAATCTTATATCGGTAGAACTGGGCCTTGATCAATAAAGTTTAACCAAGAAAGAGTACAGAACGTAATAAAAAAGTATAGTTACAGAAAAATAATGACAGGCGAAACACGGTCAAGGTCCGACGAAACTTTGTAATGGGAAGTAACATCGAGCGAAACTTAAGCGCCAATTTTATTTATGCATCTACAAGCAATATGACGACGATATAATCTTGCTAATGTAAACGTACACTATAAAGCGACTTATGAAGTTAGCGTGAAAAGAAATATCAAATTAAATATCGTGATAATCGTCTTTATATGAAAGTATTCTTGACAGCATTTTTGACAATATTAATCAAATTGAGAATGTTTCCCCAAGATGGCTCAAAGTGATTTCTAGGAGAGGTATCTCGGGGATTTACACTCTACCGATATCTTGCTTTTAAATTATAGTTTTACCACTTCTTTGCGTATTACAACAATTCATTTTGCTTCATATTATAGTATATATTTTTTTATCGTTTCTGATTATTTTCTGTTGTGCTTTTTATCGTCTACGACATCTTCATATGTAATTGATCTAAAAGTGCGTTTAAATAACATATTAAAGGTAAAATCAGTTTGGATAAACGAATTAATCAGTTACACATAGAGAGAGAAAAATATAAATTTATAATTTCAAATATATTGCAAGTTGCGTTTGTGGTAAAAGCGTAGATCTATAATTTATATGTAAATATATTATTGTTTTCAAGTAATTTTGTCTTGAAAACAAAAAAATTTTGACTTCCTGAATAATTCCGATTCTTGATCTGTAATATTTCTAAAGAAGCCAATTCACTTTTTTTTAAATAGAAATAAAGTCAAAGATATTTTTTTTATAATATAAATGTTCACGACTGAATACATACAATACACATACACACGCAATACATATACTCATACTCATATATGTATATATATAAATATACAGGCTGTTTACAAAAAAATATTCAGGATTTATATGGTAAGATAGTATATACTATACTAAGTAAGAAAGTCTTATAGATCAAAAATTGAATTGTTTTTCGGATATAAACAATTTTATACGTTAATATCATAATTGACTTATTTTTGTATTCTACGTATCGTATACGATATGAAGATTTACTTTAGTATTTACAATTCGCGTTCTGAATGTTCTAGTCAATTTCTATACTTTATAATGAAAAATTTTACTGGGAATCAGTAAATTGACGTAACAATTGGATGGACAATACAAGAAATTACCTTATTGGACCTGTAATTTTCCTAAATAGGCTATCAGGTGCTATTTATCTTAATTTCTTCCTTTTTACATCGCGTGCGACATCGTAGGAGCCAACTAGTCAATCATAATACTAACATACAAAATTGTTTATATCACAGAAAAGGTTCAATTTTCGATCTATGTTTATTAAGTCTTTTCCCTCAATATGTTGTGTACTATCTCTATATAAATTCTGAATGCATTTTTGTCAACAACTTTGTATAGAACGTATTATTATTTTGTATTACGAAACTCGACGAAGATGGATCATTCCGTTTCGTCGAATCTTCTCCAAAGGCCCGTGAAGGTGAACTTGACGCGACCGGCTGTTCGGTAGTAATCTGTGTATATAGCTGTAGTAATTGTTATGTAGCTAGATCGCTGGTGTTGTATACACATTCTCTCCGTACTCGAGTAATCTGTAATTGCTAGTATACATTGTGCAGATGTATCAAAATGTATGCGAATGCGCACGATACTTGTGTATATGTATATGCGTGTGCGTGTGCGTGTGCGTGTGCGTGTGTCCCTTTTTGAAAGTTTTTTTGTATGTTTGCCGACGAGAGAAAGGGTCGTTAAATGCGTGTGCTTAGGTGTGCCTGAATCATTGCAGAAGGTAGTGAGTACTTCCAGCGTCTGTGAAGCCGATTTCGGATATTAGTATGAGCATTTCGGTCTCCGTGGCTAAAAGATGAGGTAATGGAGTATAAAGTCGATAAAATCGCATGCACAAACGCTTCTTCAGAACTTGGTCTCCGAAGCAATTCGCCGGTTTGATGTATCGTACTGATCTTGAACGCGCTCGCGAGCGACTTCCCCCCCGAGAATTTCCCATCGGGTTCCGTTCAAAATCGAGTCCACTAATTCGGGAAGACTGTAGAAACGGTGATAATCGCCGATATTCCGGCAGCAGATTCGTATAACCGATCGTGAATCGCAGGTTTGATAATAAACAGCCATCGTGCTGTGCGTTTTTCTTATAAATAGATCGATACGTTCCTTCCATTGTTGCGTTTCCTCTTCATTTTGTACGTACGTACGTCCGTTTCTCCTTCTAGATCATAACCGAGTGCCGTTCGATACTACTTCGATTTTATATGGCCACGACCGTATCATGTCACTCGAACAAGTTCCGTCGCGGCGACTTCCGGATTAACTTTCAACCGCTAAAAGATCAAATCCATTTTCATGTCGCATATTTTAAAATAACAGAAGGATTGCTCAATATACGCATAGTCGCTTCATCTTAAAATAATTTTCAAGGATTTATGAAAAATTTCAGGGATTTGGTAATTGTAATTTGACAAAGATAAATTTTACCGCTTGGAGAACTTGCGATTATTTTCAAAAAATACACAAAGAATATAGAGTATATAATTTTTCATTTCGTTTAAAATTCTAATTTATTATTTTAATGATAGTTACACGTGTTTTACATATATTTATTAATATACATATATATGTATGTTTTTTTGTCTGTAGTTTATAATATATTTTTATTTGTTATGAGAATAGATAGTAGAAATAATTGGAATATAATCAAAATTGTCAATTCGTTGAAAAATATAGTGCCATTTATTATCAAAATAAAAACTAAATCTATATAGTAGTCTGTTCATCTTCAATTATACAGTGGTTGTGAGTTAAAACGCAAGTCGATTTATAAGCTTTCCTGCGGAGGCGCGTGAGAGTTATTTTTTCATTCAATGATGCCGTTCGCGTACAGCTCTTTTATTTATAACATACGCGTGCGACCAGATGTGATTTCTCCGTGGCGATGTCACGTTCGCCGATTGACAATTAGTTAATTTATTAAACGGAGCTTCTCGCGAAGGGACGACTCTACGCGCGAGTATCTCTCCCGAGTGAGACACCAATGATTCCTCGTTTCTTTTACATTTTTTGTATGTCAAGACAAAGAGAGTAGATCCGATAGATGCGGAAAGTGCAGACACTCATTCGCTCAGTCTCTTCCTTCGCAAGAAGCCACGATCACAGATCGTTCGCTTCATTCGCTCGGCAGATATTAATGTTGTGATATTTTACGATACCGTAATGATAAATGCCGTTATTATCTATTATTATGATCGAGATGTGTATTGTAAGCAAAAAATACATTATCTTTATTTCGGGAGGCGGCCGCCACTCAAGTCTGCGAGTCGCGTGCGAAGCCGTCTTCCTTTTGATTCGCAATTGTTGACATTTTGCGTCTACTTAATCTTTACTTTGTGAGACGAATACGAAACTTCCATGTGCTGATAATAACATTCTGAAAACCACTCATGTCTCGTTTATTGAAGAACCCTTTTCTCCACAAGAGCATGTAAATTTGTATAGAAAAGAACAATGCGCGCACTATTTGTTTCAGGCTTATAGTATAAAAATTTTATTAATATTAAAATATTAATACATTGATACAAATATATGATACATTTTGAATATAGTATATTCAATAAAAATTTTTTTATTTAAATTACGCAATACTTATAGTTAATATATACTCATAGTATGATGTATTTTTTATTAATTTTTGAATATATTTCCTCTCCATTCTGCATTCAATACATTTAAATCCAGTGAGAAACTAAGAATGCATTCCATTTCTCGCATGATGCGCATAATGCATCGTTTATCTTTGTTGCTCACTAAATGCACCTTAAGTAAAACCAATCATATTAAAGAATTTTACAACAATTGCAAACTGCTTTTTTTGCTGATTAAGATATATTATTAAGTTTTTCAAATAATTTATTAAGTTTTTTATGCTGTCCAATCAATTGCAAATTTTTAACTTTTTATACACAATACATCTGTCATTTTGACAATTTTAATAACATCTATAAATGGATTCCGCTCCTAGTATACCCAAATAGCACAGAAATCTAAAAAAAAATAATTCTTTTTAAATTCCCGAATTGTGAAAAGCTTTCTTCGTTCCTTTTCTGATACAAAATTATTTTTATTGTAAAGATGATATTCATAGTCAATTATTATGTTTAAGATTGTAAGTATATTCTATGATTGGCTTATAACACCTTAAGCCGTCATAAGACAATAACAGAATTACAATATAAAAATTTACAAAACATTTTATTGGTTCTTTATTAAAAAAATCTTTTTAATTAGATTGTTATATTCTAGATGTCGGCGTATTCGAATGATACATAATGACGTGGTGGGGTTCCGCCACGACATTGGAAAAGTTGTCGGGGAGGACGTTTCGCTTTCCACTGCAAATCCGCTAACTTCTCCCTATATAGACCAGTCTTGTCCGGATCGTCGAATCTTGCTGACCAATATTAATCTCCATTATACAAGTCAAATAGAGAGCATTCTCTAACAAAACTTTAAACGTTACACTATAACATTACATTAACGTTTGCACGGACGAAGTTAATATTAATCAAATTCTTTACACTTCATTCTATCGCTTTTTTGAAATTAATCATTTCAGGCTCGGTATCGATATAATCTATAATTTACATTAACGGGGAAATCAAAGTTATTATTATTTTTGAATGTAAAAGTATGCATTATGTCGCGTCAGCTATTCACGTTTATTTTGTATATCTGTCATTTCGCCACGTTATTCTGCGTCTCGGCACAATTTCACAATTCTAACGAGAACAATAGTGTCCATTTATTACCCGCCTATGCCATCGCCTCGAGAGCTAGTCTTCTAGGTTCAACAACATGTGCAACGGAATTACGAGATTTCCGAGACGCTGTCGATCAACGGATACTGTGGGGCTTAAAGAGTAAGCGCAAGAGTAAAATTCATTCTTATGTTCTTAATTGTGATTAATTTTTCATTCTTATTGGATCGATAAAGTGAAAAGCAAAATCAAGAAAATTAATCAGATGAACAATCTCGCGTTTATTTTATTTTGAGTCGTTTCATTGTACCGTTAAAGAGTTACTTCGAAACTATAAATTGATCTTGTGGCTTTTTTTAATCTTTCTTTATAAGACAATAAATCAGAAGATAGTCAGTAGAATCGTATTTAATTTCATCTGGTGTTAATAAAGGTACGCCCCAGTGAGAAATGACAATAGAATCGACGTCAATTCAACGCCGATTTGATGATTTCGACGTCGAATCGACATCAATTCGATGTCAATTCCATTGTCATTTCTCACTGGACGCCTATAAATCAAGGTATTCACAAAATTATTTCAATATTTTAGATACATCTGTTATATTTATAAAGTTAAAAATTGTTATATTTGTAGAGTCTGTTATGTTTATAGTCGAAACGTCCAGTGCTTCTTTAATGGAATTTTTTAAATATATATAAACATTATATTTTTAAAATTATGAAAACAGTATTTTTGTATATAATTAAAAAGAAAGAATAATAAAGGCCTAAGCAAAAATTATTCAATTAATAGAATATATTTATTGTTCAATACATAAGATAGGACATTTCAGCTTACTTAGCCATCCTCAGTCATCAAATAAATTAATACATAAGAGATAACACGCGAAAAACATACCAAAACTATAAAAGAACACTATAAGAACCACGGATAAGAACACTATAAAACCACGGATAAAGACTATGGCACAAAAAAAAACTTAATCAGTAAAACGTAAGCAGTAAGAAAATCAAAATGTTGGGTTTGCTACTGTTTATGTTATGCGTCACCTATAATATAAGTCATAATAATGTAAGAAATAAAAATAAAAGTTGATCGATTACAATAAAATGTGAGAAAAATAATCGAATATCAATTTCTTACTATTACTTACTATAGTAGACCCATTATGGCTTTACGGTCTCTATTGGCTGGTATTCATAGTCGATTCTTATGCTTGAGGTTGGCTCAAGTACAACTTAAAATGTCATAAGCCAATCAGAGGGCTGTATTAGCATTTTAAGACGTTATTTAAGATGATCTTAAAATAAGAACCGATTATGAATACCGGCTTATGTTTGGCCAATTTGTTTACTGTTTATATTTTACTGTTCAAGTTTCTTTACGTATTATGGCCTTCACGCACATGCAAGGCGTCATCGCATTTATACAAACTGTATAATTACAACGTCAAGTTCGTCACAAATCGAAGTATAATATGAAATCCATCAGAGTAAATTATTGTTGCCATGCGGAAATTGCATTTGCAGAAATGAGCTGAGTTGACGTTAATAATATGACTATAAAGCAGAGTCGGATGTCGGGTCATTTCGTTGCGTATAAAGGCCGAATATTTAAAATGAAATATAATTTCTTACATTGATATCCATCGTATCTAAGCATATATAAGTGGGAAGTATGACCTCGCCGCGCGGCGCGCGTTTCAAAGATTATTTCAAACATCTTATTAATCGATATCATTGCTTATTGATCTCATCTAAATACTTTTGTACCGTTATATTGAATTAAGTCAGAGATTTTATATTTACAAATTTCGTATTACAATTGTACATTCTTACGTAGAATATAAATTGATCAAATAGAACCTTCCAAGTAATAAATTCAATTTATTTAATCGATTAAGTTAATTGATTTTAAACAGGGTAACTTCTCAGAATTACAAATTATTATCTAGTTAGTGTCGATACAAAGACTTACCGAGACGTTTTTATATTAATTTTTGCGCTACAAATTTATAAGTTTCTTTAAAATATATTCACGTTTTCAAATGTATGTAACAGATCGTTAAAATTACAAGCTTGAAAAGTGATAATTATTACATCGGTTACTTATAATAAATCGAAATATAGTCTTTTCTTCTTGATTGGAGAACAGCCTGTTCGGAGCATATAAGTTATATTCATTTATTCACACATTATGCAACATATTTTCCATAAGTGTATTACTACCGCGATTGTGTCGCATGCGTATATAACTTTCGGTTAGAATACTTAGCACTAGAATCAACTTTCTTCGTGTTACACAAGGAACTAGTTTCTTGACTGTATATGCAAGAGAAAAGCGTTTATTACGCGTGCAACACCACACAATTTTCTCTCATTTCATTTCGAGGATCCTACATCTTATGGGATTGCCTACCGTACGCGGTATACCCGTAGTTTGGAGAACGTTGCAGCTGAGCGTACACACTCTCTTATGTACACAACATAATCCAATAGATATATTCCTACATATGCATCGAGTTTTGAATATTTTTTAACATTATCGTTTATATGAAGAAACGATCTGAGTGAAAGTTAGTAATAAGTCACAAAACTAGTGATTAAATAAAATTATTCTTCGTAGTTAATATTACTTTAGTCACAAAATATTTCATACTTTTGTTATCACAACATTTAATTATTGTTTTTGTATCATATTCCTCCAAATTTTTTATTGTAAGTGCATGATAATAATGCATAAAATATCAAAATATAATTATGTTCTGTAATATAATTATTAAAATTATAATGAGGTAAATTGCGACAATGTTAAATTAATAAAATTAAAAAATATCTAATTAATGCAAGAGATATCTAAGAGTTATCTTTTGCAACTAGTAATCCTGCCTTTAACAATTAATGAAAATCTCAGTGATTAATTAGCAATGAATAAGAAACATACTAGACGTTTTTTACGTAAATAATAATTGTGTATTTTTGTCTTTAAGCATTGGATTCTAGTGGCAATCTCAAATCAGGTTTCCTTTATGGAAATAATTTTTGGCTGGGCAGTCGTAGTCAATGCTTCGATATAATGAATAGGGCTCCCTTTGAGTTTGCAAAACGGCATATATTAAATAACACGCGGTACCGCGATCCGCAAAAGGAGTTCCCACCATTCGAATTAAATTACTTCGTTGCTTATCTCAGACACAACAGTACTCTTCAGTATCACATCAATGGACTAGAGGAAGTAAGTTCTTTCTTCTTGAGATTATCTATAGAGTATATAAGTGTTTTAACGAATGATTTTTTGCTCTTGATTAAAAATTTTTATTTCAAGTCCAATTTGTTAACAATATATGTAAGACAATCCTAAATCAAGCACTTCTTGCATCTTTTCCTTTTTATATTACGATTTAAATAAGTCTTATTTATATTGGAAAAAATGTATTTTGAATAATTATTTGTTTGAATAACAGTAACTTAACAATAATTAATAATAAATAAATATTTAAATAAATATACTAAATAGAAAAATGATAAATTAAATTAATGGTTCTTGTATTAGGTTGATATAAAAATAACGTTTTTTATTATTTTAAACTTTAAAGTTTTTTTTATTCTTCTACAATAAGGATATGTTTAATTGTTCATGATATATCATTTTCAAGCACAGATTTCGCTCCGTTAATTGTGTTAGTAATTTTATTTTAAATATTAACTTTGTAATCAATTATTATCATTATTAAATATGGAAAAGAAGCAATTTCGAATTTTTTAATACAAATTTAACTAGATTTTAAAACAACGGAAGCGAGACAAAGAATTAATAAAACATTCGGTTTGGATACTACAAAACGGTGTAATGATGATTTCAAAAATTTCGTAATAGGCGTTGACTGCACTCTTAAAAATGAAAAGAGTCAAAAACGACCTACAGTGATTAACCTTGAAGGCAATTATTAAAGCGGATCTATTAAAACCTACTCAACAATTGCACAGAAAAGATTGCACAGAAATTAATCAATCAACAATTTTTAATCAATCAATAGTTGTTTGTCATTTGAATTGGATTAGAAAAGTAAAAAAACCGACATTATTTTTGTATCAATCTAATGCTAAAAAAATATATATCTATATACATTTAGTAAATAGTACCATTCAAACAGATATTTATTAGAATTTAGTACATTTTTTTTCAGTGCACTTTAAAAACAATGGGAAAAAATTAAATTTTGTTAGTAATATTTATTGCAAACGGGCTTAAACACGTTAAATTTTAGTCTTTAAGTCATGTGGCATGTGTAACGTCGTAAATCATAAAAAGACAAAGTTTCACTAAAATTGACTTACAATTCATTTGGCACTTACGTGATCCCTCTAATGGATAAATATTCAAATTTTTCAATGTAAAATTATAAAAAACATGTAAAAATATTAACAAACAAACATAAAGTACCAAAACTCTTAAATATTCCGAAAAATATAAGTTAAGAAAAATATTTCAAATAAAAGTTATAAGGATTTATTTATTTATTTTATTTGACCTTGTGTGTGGATGTGGCATTATCAAGATTAAGGTTGCACTGAATTTTTTAAATGGAAACCCAAATTTTTCACTGCATATTTTTAACTTATCTCAAAAACTCTTCAAAACACCATAACAAAATTTTTTTAAGTTCTATGATTTGAAAGTCACAATATACCGTGTATGTTAGTATTATCCAAGACATCAAATTGATGATTAAAACCATTTATAAATATCGTTCAGTATTACGCAACCTTGACATTTGTCAAGACCGAGGCCTTTGGAAGTTGTAACTCTTATTTTTATTTTTAGTGTATATGAATAGACCTTTTTAAATTTAATCTTATAATTTTCAATTAAAATATTTTTTCATAAAACTTATATTCTTCGAGAAATATTCAGGAATTCCGTTACTTTTTATATACTCTGTATATAGAAGATTTATATACATTTTATATACATTTTTTTAGGACCTGATTACGCTCGGCCTCTGTTTGCCCGCATCCTGTTCCATGAATAATATAAGTTTTATTCTAGAAGGAATATTTCGAGATAGAGTTCTTTTAATCAATGACCTCTATTCCATGGATCTCAGCCTGATGCAGGTAAAAACTGTAAAGGATGATTACCAATGGCTGTTAAGTGGTGCGGTACCTCTTACATGGTACGTCAAAAAATATAAAATAAAGATAGTAAAAAATTAACATTACTGTTAAAGTAATAATGCGTTAAATATTTTTATGTCTTTTTCGAGAGTTTGAGAAAGCAGTAGAAGAGATATCTGCATATATTAATTTTATTATTTCAGTATTGTTTTAGTGCTTACCTTTATCATGATGATAAGTGGCACAATATATGATATATTTATATATCAAAAATATTTAAAGGCAAAGAGTAAAACTGTTGTTCGTAAGTATATGTCTAATTGTAAAATCTTTAAAGCTTCTTCGGTAATGGATTATTCATAGCACTAATTTTTTATTTTATTTTAAAAGTAAATCACACTCATGTTTTACACATTAAAATTTTTTTACTAAATTAGGGAATCATTATTATTTTAATAAAATTTTAAAATTGCGAAAAGATATTTTTTCTCTCATACAGGATAAGGCATGTAAAACAGGCCACTAGAATAACTCACTTGTTTTTTTTATGATACGAAAGAATGAAATAAAATTGAAATAGAAGTGAAACTTTCAAGGGAGACGAGTTTTTGTCATGTTTTTGTCTAGATTACCAATAAGATACGACGGTGATTTTTTTAAATGGAATTACATGAATTTGTTTACATACTATGAATCCTTTAACAATTCTGCGTTTAGCAATTTTTCTTATTATGTAGTTCATATAATCTCATCAAAAAGCGGAAGTGATCTTCATAACTTTTGCCTTCATCTAGACAAAAAATAACGTGATCAAAACACGACCCCCTTGAAAATTTCACATGTATCTAAAACATTTTTTCATTTAAAATCAATAATGATAAATGTGAAATTAATTATAGTGAGCAATTGAGAGCTAAGTATAAACGCGGTTATTTATGCGTGTAATTAACAAATATATTTAATTAAAAACGATCTTATATTGAATTCGCAAGAAATTTCGCAAATTAATTATTTCGATTTTTTCTAATTTTTTCATTTCATCAAAAACAAAGGAATTATTCAGGTGGCCTGTTTTAGATGTCTTATTCTGTATCATTTATTCCTATAATACACACATACACACACAATATCTTTTCTTCAATTATTTTCTTCTTAATATATAATTTTCTTGTCTTTGCCGGCAAGCATCTTTCGTAATTTTTAATCAGTAAATACAGATTCTGAATTGTGATATAGAAGTAAAAAACGCGGTCGAGGAGATGGAAATGACAGATTCGTCGTCTCCGTATGAGAAAAGTAGAATCGGAAACGTATTAATGTGTTTTTCCATTTACACAAATACTAAGACGATATTTAACACGAAAATGAATACCGAATCAATATCTGTCATTCACGGCATAAGATTTCTGACCATGTTTTGGATAATAATGAGCCACAGCATATATTACGCGATCGAATTTTTCGGTAAGTACTGATAAAAAAAATTGTAGAAATTATTATTTACGTCTTTTGATGTATCGTTTCACATATGTAGACAATAAAGCGTGGCTGTTGAGATTCTCGGAAGGTATCCCCATGCAAATGATAAGCAACGCATCTGTATCGGTCGACACTTATTTCTTTTTAAGTGGATTTTTATTGGTTTACATGTATTTAAAGAATAAAATAAAAGAGGAACGAATTAAGCCGATTCATTACGGAAAGCAGCTAAACGAGTTCTTTCTCATCATAATAAAGAGATTTATCCGGTACGTTTCTAACGTTATCTTGATTCGCGCGAATAATGAACAAAGACGACGCTGTAAGTATGACAGCATCAATAATACAGTAATGAGCAAAAAATAACAGAAAATATACGATTTAAAAATTGAATTTAACAATGAACCGATAATAGTAATAATAAAACAGATAATAGTAATTGTTTTCTTTATAGTTATTAAAATTAAAATTAGAAATTTGTTTTAAGATTGACACCGTCTTATATAATGATGATAGGAATAGTGCAATTAAATGCAGCTTGGTACGACAAGACTTCGCAATTCTACATGCAGATGGATAAACCGCACGAAACTTGTGCAAAATACTGGTGGAGGAATATTTTGTATATAAATAATTTTTTCAAACATGAAACGTTGGTACGAACGTCAATTTAGACTAAATGTAGGTTTCAAAATTTATTATTAATACTGAAAATTTATAGTGCACATAACGTAAACTATAGATTTTCAATACCGGCAGTAAATTTTGAAACACAATTTTAATTATAATCTAGCATCACACTCAAAAGCGTCTAAGAAGAGTACTCCTTATTTTGAATGATATTCAAATTTTCTTGTAGTGCTTGACCTGGAGTTGGTATTTATCCAACGATATGCAATTCTTTATAATCGGTCTGGCGCTTTTAATGCTGTCATCTATGTAAGTTAAACGATTGTTGACTCTATGGAATATTCTATATTTTTAACGTATATACCCGAATATAAATAAAAGCTACAAAATTACAGATATTTTTATGTGGCTGTTGCCATACTAGGTACACTTTTAATAGGCTCGATTATCTTAACTGGTTATCTCTCATACATTTATGAATATATTCCGACGTAAGTTGCAAGGTCATATTATTAATTAATATAAATGTGAGGATAATTAAGTAAATAAATGTTTTTTTATTATTGCAGTTTGGATGAACAGTATAGATTTTTAGATGTTTTATACTATCCACCATGGGTTCGAATTGGTCCATACATCATTGGAATGATTGTAGGTTACATTATAACAAGATTAAAGAAAAATGTAGTCATGAAAAAGGTAAAGTATATAATATCTATTTATATATGTATAAGAGAATTTGATTGTTGGAGTTATGGAGTTATGTAAGTTACTGATTGATAAAATTCAGATGATAATTAGAAATTATTTCTAATGTTATGACAATTAGAAATTATTTCTAATGTTATGACAATTAGAAATTATTTCTAATGATGCAAAATGCGGATTTGAAATATCCATAATTATAAATCATGTGGACTAATATCAGATTAATTTTTATAAAAAATTAGCTTTAAAAGTAGTTAGTTTTTGAACGTATATATCTGCAATTATACACACACGTGTACACACACACACACACACACACACACACACACACACACACACGCACACAGAATTTTATTTTATTTGCTCGTTAATATCTCTCTCTAGTAACCATTATAAAAAAAAACCTTACTATTTATACAAAATGGGGGAAAAATATGAAAACTTTGAAAAATCTCGAAAAATATAAGTTTTACAGAAGTGTTTCAAATAAAAGTAATAGAATTTAAAAACATCAATTTATTAGTCTTATTAGTTCGATCTTTATTGCTAAAATCAGATCAAGATTACTTTGAATTATAATATAATTTATATAATCACAATATTTCACTTTTCCAAGACGAGACGAGAATTGGATTGATCTCGAACCTGATCTGTTATCTGTTTTAAATGCCTCACTCTGTATATGTACACTGAGCAATCATTTATAAATTAAGACACATTGATAGTTCTTACTGTACAATTTAATACAGTTGAAAACAACAAGTACCTATATAATATAGGAAACTATATAAAAATAATAATATATATAAAAAAATGATTTGACTTACATATAAATTATTCTCAATACCTAGGTGGAAATAAAACGCTGAAAATTGCTGCGATCTATATCAATTGATCAGTTTCAGTATGAATTATACTGAAATATGTTAATTGATACAGATTTCAGGTATTTTCAACGTTTTCTGCGATTTATTTCCACCAGGCTATGCTACAATATTTTAAACAAAATGCATAAATTTTAGAGAACTGTAATTTTATACTGGATCATTGGTGGTGCTTGCAACATTTTCGTGTTATTCGGTCTTTACAAAAAACAGATATCTCTTCTATCTAGTGCTATTTATACTGCATCAAGTAGAACAGTTTGGGCCATAGGCATAGCATGGATTGTAATAGTGTGTTGTACTGAGCATGGAGGTTAGTCGATTTACGTAATAATAGTATTAAACAGATAAATTTTATACCATATATCAGTACAAATAAATTAGTATAATATATTATTCGTAACATTCTATTTAATCCTATTTTTTAAATTTATATTTTAAAGTCTTGTGATCCTGTTGGCAGAAATAATTCCGAGATTTCGGAGTGATTTTTAACATCGTGAATACAAGGCTTAATAAGCATTTTTGTAATAGACAATAAATCATAACAGAATAATGTTATAATTTAGAAAAAAAAATGTATTTTTATTATCAAACGCTTAACTTTATTACAGGTATCGTTAAGGAGCTGTTAACAAGCAAAATCTGGATTCCTCTTAGTAGACTTACGTACTGCGCTTACCTTTTAAATCCTTTTATCATACAATCGATTCGTTTGCATAATGAAACATCTGCTCATTTAGAATTTCTGTCCATGGTAAGTACACGAACAATCAAAACTCCAACCTCAACAAAATAAATATCCTTATTATCACAATTTTCATTTTTAGTGCGGTATGATTATGGGACACATTGGAATTACTTATTTATGTGCATATGTATTGTCTTTAATGACAGAATCACCGTATATCTTATTAATGCAAATGATCAGCAAATCTCGTAGCAGAAAAAAATATAAGGAACGTGAAATTATAATTTCGCATACATGATGGAAATACTGTAATATTGTAATTAAAATTGAATAAAATAAAATCGACTTTTAAACGTTTATCCCTCTATACATTTATGTGAAATCATATTTGACTACGATAAAGCTTAAAAATAAACTGGGAACAATTTGCATAAATTATATGGAAGGAACATTGCATGTACGGTTGCGATTAATTCATTGAAAATGCAAAAATGCGCACGAATCGAGATTCGTTTTTATCAAGTGGGCATATTATACATAGCATCCACAAATTCAGTCAAAATATCTTGTACTGACTCGAAGGAGTAGATCAAAAGTTTACAGCTCATTTATAAAACTACAAATTATTAGACAGTCAAAATTTCCCGTTCCTATATGTGAACCGGAGAATGTATTCTGGGTGGCGCCGGCGAGGTAATAGCTCGATTCGCACGTGAGGCCTGTTCGCGTCTACCTTCCTCTAGCTGCTTCTCGAGCTGCTCTTTTAAGACTAGAAGCTCTCTTGTTCTTTGATAAACAGGATCCTTGAAACAAACAAAAACAGATATTTCAACAAAGACATTTTATAATTAGTAAATTATTTAATATAATAATCGTATTTTCATGTACCTGTTGCCGCATACTAGGATTCCATCTACAATATAAACTTTTCCACGGTTTAATATATCGCATACTAGCAACTGGCATTAGAACAAGCTGATAATTCGTACCGGACCGGTAAAGAGGATTTAGATAAAGAGGTAATTGACTATTGGTATACGACCAGAGAGAGACCGTTCTTTGCTTCACTTGCTCTTGTACTCTTTCGCGTTCGCTATAAATGTTATATCAACATGATACATGTACATAAAAATATAAGGCGCAAAGCACCTATAAATATTTACCTGCTGAACAAGAACGTGCCAAATCTACAAGAGTAAAGATGATCGAGAATAGTAATTAAAAAATGTTCGTTGAATTCAAAAGCGTTGGGAAATTGTCGCATTATTTGCCAAACGCAATCGATAAATTGTAAAAATACCGGTGATCTATCTGCATCACTATGATGTTCATCACCGTGGCCTATTCTCTAAAAAAAAATCATTATTAATTAAAGCAAATAAAACAACATAAAATACTGAAATAGTTTAAAGAAAGTTTTATGTACCTGTTGAAATTTATGTCCAAAACTAAGCCACTCTTTTTCTATTAAAACCTCAAATCCTTTGACGGTTCTATAATATGGATCTAACATTAACATTGCGAGAGCTGTAAGCTAAAAAAGATAATAACAATGAGTACGTGTAATAAACATTGTAATGTTTTATTCTTTAATTCGTATATACATCGATAGTTAGAATCGATCGATACGGAATATAGCATCGTTATAATTTACTAAATTTTCCTAGCTTTATTGTTTGATGAAGAAATATATTAAGAATAAATTTTAAGATCTTAATGTTACAAATGTATGTATCTACATAATTTTTTATATCTAACAAATTATAAGGTAAAAATTTTCAATCAAAACAATTAACGGAAAATATCACGCTTTTCATTTAATATTTTATCGTATATAATCAAGATAAAAAATCTCCTAATAATAAAAAAATCAATAAAAATTAAATATTTATATATTACACATTACATACTTGTGCTGTTCGGTCCCAACCGTCAGAACAATGGACTAGGACTGAAGTTTTGTGATTTTCGACTTTATCCACAATTCTTACAGCCCCAGCAAGAACACATTTGATATGTTTAAGCCACATTGTCGATTCTATGCCAGACAGCCATCGAGCCTCATCAATTGTGGGAAAACATAATTCTGAAATAAAACAAACATAGATAAAAAATATTATGTTAATATAATTACAACAAATCTGATACCTTTTAACTTCCTGAGACTTTCTCTCATGACATGTATATTGTGAATATCGAGAAAGACTAATTCCGCATTCTGATAAGCATCTTCACTTTCGTATCCACCGCCTTTCGCTTTGTTCGCTATCGCGTTTGGCATCGGTCGCGCATCCATAATAAAGAGTTTATGGCTTTGTGCGTTAGCATCCATTATCAACTGGACGTATCTCTCATCCTCGCGACTTCGTTTGCCGCCGACACCAACTAATGGCTGAGCACAACGGGTTATCGTCGCTTGGCTTTCTGGATGAATCCATGAGAGAACTGGAAGTCTACCTCTACTCCTAAAAGACGCAGAGGCTTGAAGATCCTCATCAGTCGCTGCAGCAGGTATTGCCCAGACAGCTGGATAACTGTCGCATAGCGAATACGTGTCATTAATTTTTGATATTTTCCACATATCGTTATTTACACCCTGAAATTCAACAAAAAGTGATATTAAGTTTTGAATTATGCTAAATTTTTTCAAATTTTATACGAGATATCACATGTATCTTGATATGTACCATTCTTTTTAATTCTGCAATAGGTTCGTAAACGTTCCAACCATTTTCAGAAAAAGTCTCAGAGTATTCAAAGGCAAAGAGAGGTAACTTGTGAGATAATGGAAAAGAATACTGTTGTAGTTTTTCAAATACATCTCGTCTGGAATGGTTTTCCTGTTTATGAGCAAATCTGAGATTCCTCATATCCTTACAAAACACCTCGATTCCATAAGAATTTTCTCCTCTACTTGACGCACCGCCGACTTTTTCAATCCGACTAACGACCCCCAACGGCACTTCAACGACATAAGGTGTTTCTCGATCTATACTACGAAAATGAAGTTTGTAATTTGTAACACTAAGAATCCCTCTGGCAGGTCCCGAATAAGGACACAAATAGGTAACTTCGTGTGCAATGCCTTGCACCCGTTCTCCATTCAAGAGTGGTGGTCCCGTGTCTCCTCCAGACAAATTCTAATCAAAACAGCAATACAAATAACTGAAAATATTGCGTAATAGTAAATTTTATGGTAAAAGAAAAGCTTTCTATTTTTCTATAACTTCAACAGAAATAAAAGGCAAAAGCAGTAAATATGTTACAAAGTAAAAGTGAAATAATAGAAAAATGTTTTACACAACAGAACATTGTATTTCAACAAAAATATTTTACTATGCATTGATTATCATTAAATATTTATATTAACAGAAATGCCATAATGACACAAATAAAAATAAGAACTGTATTGTGCTTAAGCATTTGCTACAAACTCACTTTTACTTGATTATCTTTTTTAGCCTCTAGAGCAGAGACTATATTATTATCTGTTGAAGTAGAGCTTGAAGAAAAACTTTTTGAATGTGAAGCTTTTTCCCAACTCTCCTAAAGAAATTTATAGATTGACTCGAGATTTAATAAATAGTAAGTATTATATGGTTAATATTATAATCAAATAAATTCTGCTTTATACCGATTCCTGGCCCATTTTCGAATTGAGCGAACTGCTTTTGCTGTCTGAATTGAGAGAATCTGAACTGGCATTCTTCGAATTGCTTTGTTCTGTACCCAGGAGTTCTGCACTGCCTCTTTTTTCCATACTTGTATTAAAGATAGTCTCAAATTCTCTACTTTCGTTGTAACAACATTCTTGTTTACATCTTCAGTCACTGTTATCTATGATTGTATAAACCGTCTGTACCTGCATACAACCAATTATAATGAGAAACATGGCAATTCATTTAAAAAATGCCAAAATAATTAATTATTTTTAAGTTAATATTAATCTCAAAACTCTTGAGTTAATAGAATCAAAATAACAATAAACTTTTTGAATATTTAATCAGAGTATATATCTTCATATTTCTGAATATATCTAGTAATAAATATTGCTCAAATATATTTTGGATACATAAAGCATGTCTAAAAATATTTCAAAAATATATAAATAGTGTTATATTTAGAGATAAATTTTATATGTGCTAGAATCTTGACATCTGTCTCTATGACATAACCTCACAAAGTTCGCAGCGCTCGTGATAACATAACGATTAAATAATCTTAATTAATATGCTAATGATAGAATCATTGGAACGCGATAAAAACGGCACATACTTTCACAGAAAACTTACGACGAAAAAAGAATTTAAGAGTACAATACGACCGGAATTGGAAGCGAATCATGCCGTGCCACGCCCAGAGGTGTACGGATTCGCTTTATTGTCCTCCGAAACGTGCAAAAATTTCAGCTGTATTGAGGCCCATGCGATGAACCGAATACGAACCTGCTTCACTTTATATTTATGTAATGTATCCCGTAGCGTTTACTCCTGTCAGTGCAACGTATTTTTGACAGACGCGGCCATTTTGCACGCAAACATCGACAGGTGACGCCAGGTGACGCTGTAGCTCTTCTCAACTCCGTGTACACAGTGCACCTGTTCTAGGTTCTAGAACGTCTCATCGTCAAATAAACACGTTAAAGAATATGTATTTAGATATTAAAAAATCTAGCATTTCTTCAATATATACTTCTATTCTTATAATTTCGTTTGCGAAATTACATATTTTTTTATAAATAAAAATTAAGATAATTTTTATTTATACTACGTTTTTATTTATACCTACATATTTAATAAAGTTATTTTACAGGACTTTCGAAAAATATATTTAAAGAAGTACGCGCGCGCGCAGTTGTTATAATGTGTCTTATAAGTTAGCGGAATAAAATGAGCAAAATGGATTTTAAATTATTTAACTCGACAGTTCGATATTGTTACACATATATAATATGCAATGTTGCGCAGTTTTTTTTTACCAATAATATACAATTATACAACTAATTAAAAAAAATAAAACACTCAAGTAGTATCTTCAGGTTTTAATATTTATTTTACAAAACATAAATTTTTCTTATTAAAAGAAGCTATTTTAAATCGATATCTTCTTGTAAATCTGTTTCAAAGTGACTTTTTTTTTTAGCAAAAAATCGATTTTTAAAGAATTGATCCGGAAAATGCGTATTCCTAGCCTCAGGTGGTAGATGTTGAAAGGAACATCTGTAACATCTTGTATGATGGAGATACAACATGGGGATATTATTGATTATCACTACGTATTTGATAAATAGAAAGACGGATATTTTAGAAAGTCAGAACGTATTTATTAATTTTAATTAAAGAATCTACAATAAATTATGAACTACAAAATTTAGTAGAATTAATATATATTTATATAAGTAGATATGTAATTTTATAATATTTCATTATTTAGAAAATATGATTACAACTGTTTGTGATCTAAAAATACATTTGTTACATAATTTTTTGTACTTTTATAGAATTAAAAAATATTCATATTTAAAAAAAAAAAAATCACCAATAATTGTTCTTTTGATATTAAATCAATTATAAATATATAATTATAAATATGCATAATATATAAAATATGCGTTTTCTTTTTTAAGACGATTTCTATCAAATCTCTATTAATTTAATCGGCAAAATTACTTAAATTTACCACATATATTAATTACATGTACCATTGAATTAATATATTAAGAAAGGTTATAGGTGATTTTATAATGTGACTATTTTAATTTTATAAATACTTAAAATTATATAGTAAAAATCTGAATATCAAATGACTGAAATATATATGTATACATGCGGAGTTGTTACGTTAAGTAATCAATACTTCATTCATCGTTAAAATTTAATGAAGAGCAGACGCCATCTTTTGAATATTGCTTAGCATTATGATTGATATTTCGCAATTAATTATTTTTCGGTAAAAGTACTCAAAAGAAGTTTTCAAATAATTCGCAATGAAAGAAGAATTTCATTACGTAAATGTTTTGATAATATTCTATTATAAATATATTAATACTAAAGGTAATTAAAAACACAATATAATTGATATTTTAACGTATATAAATTACAATATTTTAAAAATAATACCTTAAAATATATTTGCTCCATAAAACTTCATGTTACATTGATTTTTCTGCAAATCAAGAATGAGAGAAGAATATAATTAAATATTAATTAAAATCTTTTACTAAAAAATTATATTATTAATACTGTGTAACATATTCGGCATTTAAGTAAATTCATAAAATGATACAATTAATACTATTGATATTTTATGTTATATCACCAAATAATTTGTTGTTGGAAACAATTGAACGATATTAGTAAAACATTTAATGGAGTAAAAGTGTGAAAGATATCATCGTAAAAAATGTTTCCGGTGTCTATTTTCATAGTAATTGATAACTAAGGATAAAATAAAAAAAATTTTAATTTTGTTCTCGATTTGATATTTTAAAAATCACATAATAATCAATACTAATTTGAAGAAATGAAGAGAAAAAAGACATATAATTTTTTTTTCTACTTTCCAATAATGAAAGTTGAGCAAAATTGATAAATTTTAACAACAAAAAGAGAACACATACACGTTATATTTGATCATTTTCACTACCATAGGAGGTTGAAAAGAATTGTAGTTTTAAAATTCTGAAAACACACACACACACACACACACACACACTAAATGAATAAGAAAAATTGAAAAATTTGGACACCTTATTTTTCTATAAAGATGATGTAAGATTTTCTCGAAATTTTTATAACAATAAATCTTTACGATAATAAAGTCACATTATAATTACATATATTTTATTATTAATTTAAATTATCATGTTAAGATCTTTAAACATAAGCTCGAGGACGAAAAAGGCGTAAATTTTATTATATTTATAAATTTAACAAATTTTTTAAATTTATATTTTGAACACTTGAAAATCTTTCTCTTTAAATTTTTTGTTTTATAATAGAGAACATTTTATTGCTTTTATTAATATTTTAAAAAATATTTCAAGAGAGATAGAGGTAGAGAAAAAGAGAGAAGAGAGTAAATTATTTATTCAGCTTGATCTTATCTTAACAAAAAAGAAGCAGGAAAACGAAATTTGTTAAGTACTTTTTAAGTAACGATAATGAGGTATAACGGTATAAGTTATTTTTAAGAATCAATAATTAGTTATTTATTTAACTCGATAACGTGTAGTGATAACGAGAGTTACTTGGAAAAGCAAAATTTTTAATACTTGATTTTTTATTACAATTATCGTTTTTTTTTCTTGATTTGCATAATTTGATTTCGTATGAAAAATAGAAATTTTTTGCTAGCGCCAAAACATACACAAATAATTCAAATGTTGCAAATACAAAATTCACATATTCGACGACCGAGTTATCCCATCGACACTTTGGTTAACGGACGTGTTCTCCGTCAGAATGGAACGGAACTACTACTCCGTTCTGTGAAGTTCTTGACTTTTCTTGACACGAGTTCAAGTGCGCACGCGTCGTTCGATACGTTCTGTTCGTTCAGTTTTGTTTTAGATTTCCTTTTCTCCCAATTAGTGACTAATTAGTATTATAATCAACGTAAATATTTTGCAAATAATTAAAAGCACAGCGTATGGTTCCTAATATCTTAGATAACTTTATAGTAATATAAAGTATAAAGAGGCTAAAAGCCATTAAAAGAAAGAGTATTAACCCGAAGAATGGAAAAGCTTAATATATATGCAAGCAGATAAACTCAATCTTTTTTAAAGAAATATTTATTTCTAAATTTTTTAAATATTGTTTAATAAGCATAATAATTATCTTAAATAATCTTTATAAAGATAATAAAATGCATGAAAGTATTCATATGTGCAAAAGTTTTTTCTCGATTTAAATTTTTTTTCATACTTTACATTTCTTTTTTTACGTATCATTTTCCACTATGTAGTGATCGCAGTATCCTTTTATAATAGGATGCATCCTTGAAAGCAAGAAAATTTATGTAAAAAAACGTTAAAAATAAAAGACTTTTAAATAAGAAAAGAACTTTCACTTAAAAAATGTATAATCTTCGTTGCTTTAAATAATAAAGTTATTTTTACAGTGACAACCTTGTGATTTTTTCCATAATCTTTTGCACTGCAAAATGTTCATTAAAGTAAACTGATAAGTTTAAGAACTGTATGTATAATATAATATATATTAATACAGACTTAACATTTTATTTTCTCACTCCGTATTATTGCTTCAATTATGAGCTGTGAAATTGATAGCCATACCATTTTACTGTTTAAAATTAAATAGGAATTGACTACTTTTATCTTTTAATTTAAATTAACGGAGAGCGAATATTATTGTGATCACACTTTACACGTAGTGTCTTAATTAAGGATGAACCACATGTTAACCGCTGTATTTTCCAAACAAAAAGATCGATTAGTTTGAAGATAAAATTGCGAAATCTACATCTATTGATTCTATCTTTAAGAATAAATCACACATAGAGTGAATTATTAAATAACAGAGAACATCTATTATAATTTAATTTAAATCCGTTTGAACAACTTAAAATTTGTACTTGTTTAACATCGATAATGACCCGATCGGTGTCGAAACGTCTGTATATTCGATTATTTGATGTTTCTACTTTTTTTAATATTAGAAATATTATATGGCTCGTTTATAGTCTTTCAATTCGTATTTGTCAATTTGTCATCTAATATTTGATCGGCAAAATAAAATTAAATAGCTTTCGTTCTTCATTGATACTCTGACATATATTCCTACGCATGGCTCAGATTCTGTGAACCATGTCAATAAGCAAAACAAAACGATTTATTTATGGCTACAATATAAAAACAAGTTGTAATACTACAGAGATTCCGCTATCATGTTATGAATGAAATGAATCGTTTACACATCAGCTGATATGCATAATCAGATATAACACATAGTTCTGTTGCTATTAAATTATACTTCCATCCACGACCACTACCTTGATGCATATTTGTTATCTGTATTGTACCGGAATTTGCTGTGTACAGGTCAATCATGCATATGCTCTTTTGTCGAAATGCAAATACGCGCTGAGCAACAGCAAAAAGAATAACAAACGTCAATTCAATATTCGCACTATGTGATATTTTTATATTATGTGAAGAACGGGAAAGTAGCAAAAGTAATATTGTACTATAGAATTAAATTTAAACTTATTTTAATTATCCTGTTTACAATCTTGTTCTTCGTTTAAAAGCGATCTCAGTTAATTTAACAATTTCAAATTCAGTCTATATTACGTCACCCGAAGATATAATTGCAAAAGATTCATCCCGAAATAATAGCCGTTCAATATACAGTTTTCCTTCTGTCCAATATGAGAATTGCTTTTGACGTCAACGTAGTATGAAAACGAAATACATATTTAATAAATGTGCGAGAGAAAGGAATCTTTATATTATTAAAATGTGACTTCAAAAGACTCCTGTAGCACTCAATCAAT